GTAGGAGCAGGAGTAGGAGTGGGAGTGGGAGTAGGAGTAGTAGTAGTAGTAGTAGTAGTAGTAGTAGTGGTAGTAGTAGCAACATTAGCTAGTAGTAGTAAGTAGTGGTCGTCGTCGTAGTCTTAGAAGTAGCAGCAGCAGCAGCAGTAAGTAGAATTACACACCAGGCCGCAACAAAGGTCGGAAAATACATTATGCCATTATGCCCACAGAGAAACAAAACGAAGGCTGCAGAAATGGCTGCCGAAATTTTCGAACGCACTCAGTGGGAGAACGAGCGAGCCGTTCGTGAGGATATTTGCAGAAACGGCTTCAAAGCTGGTCACACTGGCGTAGCTTGGTTTTCGAGACTGGTGTGGTTTTGAGGTCGCAACTCTCGGTGTCCAACGCATGTTGGGGAGTGTCACCGAGGTGTCGTTCCACGTTGGCAACCTGCAGCTTCCAAGGCTAGGCCACGAGGGTCTCAACCTTCTGAAGTTGCAAGTAGACGCATTTTTTGAATCTCCCGAAACTCTCACAGTGGCAGTCTCTACAGCGACGGTCGCGACCGGGGTGGCAATGACCGTGGCCACAACGTGAAGAGCCGCGGGAGGCTGGCAACTGAGATACGCCTGAAACTGCGTGTAGCAGCACTGCAGAGGCTTGTTCCGAATGTCGCAGAAGTGGCACACAGGTCTTTGCCTGCGGGGCGTCGCTTGTATGCAGCTCGAACAGCATTGGCAGCGTACACGAGCCATGTGTTCAGCTTGTTCGCTGGAAGGAATTTCTGCTCTGTCGCCTTGGTGCTGGGCGCTCGTATCTTATTGACAACCCGTCGCATGCAGAACCTCTGAAGCATCTCTCAACAGCAATTGCCAAAACATGCGTGTAGGGAGCGCCTGTTGCGTGAATGAAGGAAACATTGGCCCTGCCACCGGAGTACGACAGCTTCTTCACGCGGCACAGCCCTGCGAATGAGCAGGTGATACATGAAGAGTATCCAGGTGTCCTGCCCAGGCATGTTCTGCATCATGAGTATCTTGCCTGCTCCGGACGTTTCATGATGTGCATGTTGCTCCGCATGGGAGGAGATTTCGAACGTAATTTCGTAAAGACTGAGTCAAGGTACATGGTCAGAGATCCTGCGCAGGTGGCTATGGGTGGGTATGGCAGAGTGCAACGGCATCCATCCTGTACACTGTACAAGTCAGTTTGCTTGTCAGGCACTTCCTGTGTATTTGGTGCATTTCGAGTTCGACCCAGAAATGCCAGAGCTGCTCAATCTTCCCCTCTGCGACCACTGTGGTCTGCAAGCCGCGATGGCCGCTTTCCTGATAGGAGTAACTTCCTTGGCTCTTGGCTCTGTGCGTTTGGCCGTCAGAGTTGAGGTCTACTGCGAAGCAGATGATGCAATTTTTTGCAGACCGTGCGATAGCCGGATTCATTCGGCGAACAAGCTGGCGGCCCGTCACATCCGAGTTGACATCAATCGACGTCCCAATGCACCACTGGGAAATTGTCCGGATCATGCAGGATCCGAGGCGGACATGTACTGCACGGATGCTTCCCTGCGTTTGGCTCCCTGTGTCGGCGACAGCGATGAAACACAAGTTTTTCAACCCAAAGCAGCCAGGAATGTAAAGTTCCGGTTTGCCAGCATTGCCGCAAGCTTGGGAGCCACAGCGCAGGCCCGCAGGTCCTTCAGAATTTTGGAATTGGCTTGATTGGTTTGGTCATGTAGCGTCCGACAGGCTTTACGATATCTGAAGCATACCCCAGCTTTGGCTCGCAGGAGAAGCCAAAAAGCACCGTCTCGTCAACCTCCGTGAAGCATATCAGCATGCGCTGAAGGCTGGTGGAATGGGGAGCAGTCTTGCGAGAGAGTACGCCTGAGTTGGTCCCGATTTGTTGCACCGGGAGGCAAGCACAGTCACGGCAAACAGCGTCCTGACAGATCGGCAGCGCGTGGAATCCCAGCAGGTCGTTGGTCGAAGCTGGAAGCTGGGTGCTGCATGCTGTGGATGTCGCTGCCCTGCAGGTTTCTGAACTGGATCGGCGCCTGGTTACTGTGCAGGAGTCCACCCAGGCTTTGGAGGATGGCATCTACGACCAAGTGCAGCGTCTTCGCCTCGAAGACCAAAGTGAGGACAGTGAGGACACAGGAGAGTAGGCCTGTCGACTTGTGGCCTCACTTTAGTCCTTCTGAGGCTTGCAGTCAAGCAGGGCCAGGCCTTGGCAGAAGAGCAGGCGCTGCTCCTCATGGCGGCAGTCTGGCTGGAGCTGGATATTGGGGGTGGCATGACTGGGGTTCTTTTGTGGCTGGTGTCTTGGATTGGCCAAGGACGAGTTGGAGGCCAAGCGGCAGTTGGATCAGGCAGCATGGATGGAACCTCGGAAGGCATAGCGGCACAGCGATTGATTTCCCAAATCTGAAAAACTTGTATCTGAGCCGGCCTTGGAGCCTTTCGAGCAGCAAGAAGTCTTCCCTTTCTCGGAGTTGCGAAGGATTCCTTCTTGGAGGAACACGTCAAGAACCTGCCGCCCCCTGACTTTCTGGAAGCGTGGCTGCAGCATGCCAAGGCCGCTGCTCGTTCCCCTTGAAAGGGCTCTCAAATCTGATGCTCACGGACCCAGTTCATGAAACTCGAGTCTTGCAGTTCGCTAAAGCCAGTTCCTGCTTCGCTCGTGGTGACCGCATTGGTGGCTTGGGAGGATTTGTTGCTCTGTTGAGGGGGCAGCGGTACAGGGATGAGCTTGATGATGCTTGAATGAACGCAGCGCTTTTGCTGGTTGGTTGTCTTGGCGTGCACAGGTCAGGCAAGAGGTCAGCCAGCTAGGCCGGGTGCAGTTGCACTTCATAGGCTGACTCCGCGCACAGTTTGGCATAGCGACTCACGGTGGCTCTAGCAGGCTCTAGAAATGGGCCCTGGACTGTCTCCTGAAGGGCCGATCTGAGCTCTGACAGTTGGAGTCGCTTTTGCAGGTCGGCTCACAGAGCCGCGCAGCAGCGCAACACTGCGCTTGGAAGGTGGCCTGCGGCTTGTAGCGGACACTGCAGAGGCAGACGACCCATGTTCCAGTCTTTCATTGCGCTGGCCTCAAGACAAGCTTCCTGCAGAGTTCGCGCAGGCCACGTGGTCTCGACCTGGAGATGCTCCAGGTGATTCTTCTGTGGTGTGCAGTGTGAGAATGGATGGAGCATGCATCAGCATTTCAACCTCCGCTCGCCTTAATAAAGGTGGCGTTTCCAGCTCCACCACCCGAGTTGGTGAGGGATCAAAGACGCAAGCGAAATTCTTGCTCGATGGCTGAGGGCTTTAGGTGTCGGGTCTAACGACAGCACATTCCTTGCCCAAAGTTCCAGATCTGCCGAAGGCAAACTCTGCTTGTGATTCGCACTTAGCTGCACTTAGCTTCGTGATGGCGGGGGCACCGCTCCGCGAGCTGAGACGGTGCACGAGACGGCGCATGAACTGAAAAAGCCAAGGGCGCGCGCACAACATGGCAAGACGGCACGAGCTTCCGCGCTCGGGTAGCCGCAAGACCATGCAGGCAGATGCAACGCGAACCAGCTTTTGCTTGTGCCGAAAGGTGTGTGGCACAGTGTACGAAGGCGATGCTGGGAAAGCCGTGCACGAAAAGATTCCTCCTTATCAGGGTATCATGCGATGGTTTTGGTCGACGTTGCTCCAATTTGTACTAAAGCAACCCAAGCTTCCTCACTCAGGTTCCGCATACATGAAGCCTATACGATCGTGGCAAGCTGAGACAAGGAGCCTCCATGCTCTGGCATGAGCGACTGCTGATCCTGAAAGGTTCGGAAGCGCATGGATGAGATACAGCCGCGAGTCGAGGAGTTTGCCGCTGAGCACCGTCTGCACTCCTTGCACACCGGACGGTGTGGAGCACATTGCCAAGCGAGGTGGGAAAAAGCTGAGAAGGCAAAAAAGGGGGAGGAGGATGTCTCGCAGACCAGAGCTGGCCAGTGGCGCATGGGCTCACGCTCAAAGCTGCAGGATGTCAAGAAGAAGGAGAAAGAAAACGGTGCGAGGGATAATTTTTGGCCAAGCTGATGATGCAGTTCACTGTGTATTGGGTCAGCTCTTTTGCAATGCCCCGAATTGGAGTGCCAGGCAAACACGAAAGCAGAAGCAGAGCTAAGGACAAGGACACTTCCGGCTTGTTAGCACGATCGCGGTGCATGTGCAGTCGCAGTGTTTTGACGTTGCTGGAGTTCACTTCGACTGGGACACACCACGCATATCTTGCCTCAAGTTTGTAAGTCTGTATCAGTCGTTGGGTAGGGCCAAGGAAAGCCTCAACAGTCTCTGCGTTCAAGCTCGTAGCATTCTAGCTCCTAGAGCCGAGAAACCGAGCATGAACATCGTCTTCCTTTGCCTAGCTTGACTTTTCAGCTATGATTTCACCCTCGCCCTCGTCTTCCGATCGCATGGCGGCTGAGCTTGCTTGGTGGCATGGCTCCGGCTGTGCGATATCTCCAGGTGCTTTACTGAATTGCTGAAGAACTGCAGGCCCAGACGTAAGCTTTCAGCCGGATTGTGGAGGACCGGAGCTGTCCGGTCTTCGCGACGCAAGCCCTGCCGGACATTGCGAAAGACTGCCAATGTCACGACAGCGTGCCCTACTGCTTCGAGGACCGAGTCTCAGGTTGAGGCCCCAGCCCAAGGCAGTTGGAAGCTGGCTGAGCGTTGGCTGAGGGTGTTTACCAAGGGCGGAAGATTGGCATGAGATGTGAGATGTCTAGGTAACATGTTGGCAGGGGGCCTTGCCAGAAGGCACGGGACAGGTCTCCTCGCCAGTTTCTTTCCTAGCATGAGGTGCAGAGCTGGGCATATGTTCTGTGATTGGATTTTTTTTGTGGCCACCGTGATTCGTTCTGGGACCAGGGTTCGCTTTAGATTTCCCAGGGTGTGCCAGCCGCAAGCTGGGTTCTCTCGGCTCCAGGGCCCTTGACTTGTGGCTTTTTTGGGAGGACGGCCGGCAGATGTGCCATCGCTCTGATGGCAGATTGGACCTGCACTACTTCGCTGTAGCTCGGAATTGTAAAATGGCGTCATGGGCTTGCAGCACTTGGTCACTTGTGACAGCAAAGGTGGACTGCGAATCCTGCATTTGTGAAGAGTCCCAAGATGCCGGAAGCAGGAGCACATCTTTTGCAGGCAGCTGGGCCCCCCTCTTGTCAGATGATCGATCAGTGGGAGAGTTTCTTCCGAATTGGATTCCGGGTCTGGTTTTTGCCATGATCCCGACCTTGCGTGAGAAGCGCTTGGCAGCTATGGTTCGCCACTTTTCGGCTCTTCACAGGTCCTTCGGAGACCACCTGTTCGACCGCAGATGGTGCGCAAGACGTGGTGCTTGCACCTGACGCCTCAGGCATTGGCTCCTACATGTCCTAACAGTTCTAGCAGTTTCTTCAAGCCGAGAAGCACATCGGACGCAGTCCTTGAGGCATTTGCTTTTGCCCGGACGAGAGACCTCTGTGTGTGCTCCTACCGGGTGAAGATCTTGGCTGTCTTGCAGGCAACGCTCCCCCGAGCGTCCCCTGCTTTCTCTTGCAGCGGTTGGGACCGGAGTGGCATTTGAACGTGGCTGGCAGGCCATGTGCAACCAGAGTCTGCCTCAGCTGCAGCGTTTGGGGCAGGCACCAGAAAAGCTTAAGGCTTAAGCTACAACTGACGAAGGACCAATAGTGTTTTGCCTGACGAGTCCATAGTCTGTGCTGCAGGATGTGCGCCTGACAGCTGTTCGTGCCGTGCATCATGTCCATCTTTTGCCAGCCGTGGCTATGCCGACAGTGTTGGAGACTGCCATTGTCCTCCCGATTCGCCTTTGTGCTCTCCGGCTGAAGTGGACATCCCGGATCGTAAGCTCGCATCTCCAGATTTGAAGGGTTGCAAGCATCGACACCTAGTTTGCACAATGGGGCTGGTTTTGTACAGCAGCATTCAGGTTATGAAGATGGGACGGCCGGCTGCCAATCTTCGACGGGCATGACCTCATGGACGTACTTCTCAAGCAATTGTGGCGCTCCTTGCATATCTCGATGTTTGCACACGTGCTTTCGAAGTAGAAGTCACCGGCCGTCGCGGTTAAAGAAGTCTCGCAGTTAAAGAAACCTCGGCCGGTCACAGCTAGGGGTTTTCTTGCAGTTTAGTAGCTGCTGTAAGACGAGCCAGGGGCAGAAAGACACGAGCTTTCGGCACATTCGGCATCAGGCAGCCCTTGGAAAAACTCCAGGCAAGCACTCTGGCGCAGGTGCTCGATGCGAGTGCGTGGAGCAGCTAGACGGCCAGTGCGACCCCAGGACACAATGCATAGCCACCGCTTCGTGCAGTGCTACGAGTGCTGGCTCGGCTTGCCAGTGGTTAGGAGTTGCTTGGAGACGGCGGACTGCATTTTCTCGACTTGCAGAGACTGCGATGTCTGCAAGGGGATCACCAGGCGAAAGCAAACGAAAGCGGCTGTCATAAGGCCTTTGAGTTTTCGATGCAGAGCAGGTGTCCGACAGCTCCTGGCGACGACAGCATCACTTTGCCGGATTGGAGCGGCAACTGCAGATGCAAAGACCAGCAGGCCGAACCCTGCCCCCCTGCCCCGGAATGCACTCGCCTGCACCTGCGAAGTGACAGGTGTGCTATGAAGGTGGCAGCATTACACCTGGATGTCCCGTGGCACCAGCTGGGCGCTCGCAATTTTCTTTTCAGATCAGCTGCATCGATTGCAGCCTCGCCTCATTTAGAGCATGCTCTTCATTTGCAAACCAGAGATGCGTACGTACTAGTTGTATATCTAAGCTTAGCAGGCTTAGCATGGCTCAGCTACAACTTCAAGGCACCCGAGTCCCAGCTTATACTCCAGCCTCCAGCACAGCTGAGGCATCTGTGACAAGCTGACATCATCACCCGGTTCCGGCAACGTCAAATGCCCAAGGTTTGCGCGCGAGAGCCTCCCTGGCTGGTCTGGCGACTGTGTGTGTCCGGATGACATGCCGGATTGCTCCTCGGTAAGCAGCTGCCATTTTCTATTCACGGGATGTGAGCCAACTACTTCCTCGGATTTGCCAAGTCCTTGTGAACCATGGCCCCCAGACGTTTGCATATCTGACCCAAATTCAGTCGACTCAGTTTCATGCGCAAAAATGAGACTCGTCAGGCGTAGAATTGCAGGATGTGCAGTTTTGAGTTGTTTGTTGGAGTTACCTTCTGAGCATCCTGCGCTTTGGAAGGTTACCAGAATGGCATCCGGTGGTGCTCCAGGCATCAGGGTGCTCGTGCAACTTCGCGCAGATGTAACTGCAGCGTAGCGGTAGCGGTCAAAGGACGGACGGCCAGCGCGATCTGCACTATTTCGACCCGGGCTGCCTGGACTGCGAATGCCGGGCAGCCCTGAGTTTGAACTCCACTGAAGAGGCCATGGTAGCAGTGCGTTTTCGAGGAGGCTGGTTTGCACAAGCGCAGGTGAAGCCCTGCCCAGACTTTTCGAAGTTCAGCTCCTCCAACGCGCGGCTTTTCAGCATTCCCAAAGCACAGGCAAGGGAATGTCCGCCCAATTCCCCGTGCGGGTATTGTGTCGGCAGATGTCCATGGTTACCATCTTAGGTTCCAAAATTGCATTTGCCCGCACAGCCGTCCGATCTGCGTGCAGTCGGACGGCACGGTGGCTGAAGGACGATCTGGACCATATTGTCAGACTGCACAGGCACGGTGTCTTTGCCTCAGTTGCGACAGGTTCGTTGGTCTCAGGAGTCTCACTGCCCTGTGAAGGGCTGGGATTCCTCGACGGAGTTTCGGCATGACTGTGCCACGTGCTCCTGCATGGAAAGCGATGGAGAAGGCTCTAACCTGCGGGATTTCACAGCAGAGGCTGGCAGTGAGTTGTTGAAAGATCAAACCTTTCGGCCTCCCTTGAAATTCATGACGTGAGTTTGTTTTTGCTTGAAGCGCCTCTGTCACGCACTTGCAGAGGAGCAACTAAGTGCAGATGGGGTCACATACATTCGCCTGGATCTTGTTCTGGATCTCCGCCTGGCCTCCTGGCCGACCGTAGTGGCTGTGGTTCCATACTGCTTCTTGTTTAGTTTGGAAGAGATTGTCGCGCTAAAGGTGAATTCCTTCAACTCGTTGAGCCAATGGGACTTGGTGGTTGACGGAGTTTTGCTGACGGATGCGGGCAGGTCCCAGCAGTGTGTTGCTGACATGGGTTTGCCCGTGACGCGCTTGAGTAGCTGGGCTAGAATGTCCAAATGCCCCGAAGGCAAGCTCTTGCCGTTTCTGCAGCTTATGGCCTGTCGCGGCCAGCGGCACCAGCCATAGGTTTCTTGCCTGCAACTGTCGCGTTTGCATCAGAACGAGCTTGCGTAATCCCTAGATCGATATCCATGAACTTCCGTAGCAACACTCATCTCTTCTGTCGGGCTGGAACAGGTTATTGCCGGGGGGTGGCTGATGTCCAGGGCAGGACCACATCAATCTTGTTCCTATTTGCTCTGTGTTCTTGTCCGGCATGGTCATGGCATCGTCAGGACGGTTGACGGCGGAGACTTTGAAGATGTGCGTGTGGAGCGCCTGTATGCCGAACTTGGTGTCATGTGGGCGCATGCTCTCGAGATCAACAGTGCCAATGGCACAGGCTTTGCAAAGCTTTGCACGATGTGTCGGGAATTCGGAGTTCCTCACTAAAGTGTTCTGCAAGGCCGGCTTCTTGAAACGGATGGACGCCGGCCAGCCAGCTTCCCAGAGCCGTCGTTGAAGATTAGACCAAAAGAGAGGGAACGCCTGAGGCCTTCCGCATCTTACAAAGCCTTCGAGCCAAGTCGCTGGATGAGCTGACAATCCACGAGCGCGAGCTGCTGTTGCAGTTTGGCGGCAGAGCAGTTCAGCTAGATTTCTTCAAAGATGCATTGAACTAAGGAGTCTGGACACTTCTTTCCGTCCTGGGCGCTTCAAGCAGCAGCTGGATTTCGAACTTCAGCGGCTGCTCAACGAGACGGCGAGCTGGCACCCAACTCCAGGCCTCTCTGCATATGAGCCAAAATACCCTCCAAAGGCCCTTTGTGCACACCACGACTGCTCTGCGCAGGTGGCATCCAGGCACCACGCATATCTGTGAGCAGAGCCACACCATCCTCGGATTTGTCAGCGATCCCGCCACTTTCACTTGTGGGGCCCCTGGCTCCAGCTGCTCCAAACCGACGGGATCTGAGGGCGCCTTGGTTTACATGTTTTTGAACATTTCTTGTTAACGTTTAACGGCAGCACGCGCAGAGCGCAAAGGTGCCTGTTGCAACCGTGCAGACAACAGCGATGCCCGAAACGGAGGAGGAAGCAAATGCATCCGGTGAGTTTGACTTGCTCTCACTCCTTCCGATGGGCATCGCAATTGTCTCTTCACTGGTTGGCCTTGTCTCCTTGTACTGCTTGGTGAAGTGGATACGCCGCTGCCTGCGCCGGCGACGTGAAAGACGTGCCGAGAAGGATGCAGATGGTGGCTCTGGCTCGCCAAGATCGCCGAAGGGTTCGCCACGTTCACCGCGGTCACCAAAGAACCCCAGCTCTCCAAGACACGCACCTTCTCAAGATGCCATGACGGCAACCTCCAGCGTGAACACCGTAAAGGTGAAGCGCGCAGGCACGGCCTCGACGGATTTGCGCAAGGGCATGTCATCAGTTTTTGACAAGCCAAAGCGTGAGGATGCGGGGATGTCCCTGGCTGATCGGCAAAGAACGGGTCAAAAAACCGTGAGTGCAGCTGCAAAAACGGTCGTGGGTGCAGCTCTGGAGACTGATGGCGACGATGGCAGCCCAAGGCAGAAGAAGGGCTTCATGGGGCGCTTTCGAAGAGGTAAAGACAAGGGAGGAAGTCCAAGTCAATCTCCTCGAAGCTCTCCGAGGTCTCCCCGATCTCCAAGATAGCTTGGGTCCTGGCATCTCCTGGCTCTGGCTTTCTGGGGTTTAGTTAATGATTGGTCATCATTGGCCGTTGTAGGGAGTCGACTTCTGACTTCTCCACCAACGTGCCTTGTTAATGTCTTAAGTTGTTGCCTCTCCTTGCAGCCAAGCTGCCTCAAGAGTTGGGCTACATACATATGCACGGAAAACGTGTGGCTCCTGCAGGAATAGGGAAGTCGTAACAAAAAGAACCTTCGCTCGGACATGACGTGTCGAGGATCGGGGAAAGGATCGCTCGAGGCGCAGAGAAAGCAGAAGTTTCGACCTTACTGTTGGAGATATGGGTGTCCCTGGGCCTTTGGTGTTTCGAAGACCGCATGAGAGCATCCCCAGGCCGCTCACGCGATCGAGAACCTAGCCGAAGGCCAGCTTCGACGTTCCACGACAGAGTTAACGTAGGATCTGCTTCTGCAAGGAGACGTCGCGAGAGCAAAAGTTACAGCCGGGGTGTGGCTCTGAGATCACAGAAGGGAGACCTTTCAATGGATGAGTTTTAGACTCGTAACCGTTTATCCCTGCCCTCTGCGCATTTTTGGATCTTAGCTGCATGTCTTTCCCGCGTCTTATGGCGCATCTTGGGCCGTGCTGCCCCTTGAGTTGTCAGGGCCTCATTTGTGCTCTGCTTGTGTCCACGGGAGCCGGAGCTGCCTGCACTGCGCTGTACGGCTGTACGGACGATGCAGAGATATGCAGAGCATTTTGTCATCTGAGGCTGGGGGTTCTTTGGTGCAAACCCGCGCAAGAGGCAGAGGCCCAGTGTTGCGGTTCACAAAGCTTTCCCACGTTGCAGCATGACTTGGTCTGCTTTTCTCTTCATTGCGAAGTGGAGGATGTCCTCGCCAAGCTCCGTCTTGATTTTCTTGCATGGCAGCGGAGACACCGGCGAGGGTGTCCAGGACCCCTTTCACAAAAGGCATGGCGAAATGGGAGGGCTTCTGAGAGTCTGGTAGGGCTGGCTGCATGCCATCAGTGGTGGAGCTTTCGAGTCTGATCCCCAGCATGTTTCATACCAATACAGCATAACTAATATATTATAACAGACTATGATGTAATATAGTATAGTATGACCAATGGCGGTAGGCCGGTAGGACAGGATTGGGGACTCTTGCTCTCCTCCCAGGGCCAGCCTTGCGCGAGAAGGCATCGCAATGCAGTTCCCAACGGCCGCGAGAATACCTTACAGAGACTTGGATGACCTGGACCGTTGTGATAGCATACATGCGGTTTGTCACGAGCCATCCCGAGGCCTGATTGGCGGAATGCCACAGACTGTGTGGTTTCGGGCACAGGGCCAGCTTTCATCGTTATAGCTCCATGCTGACACGACTTCCACCCTCACCGGAGAGTGCCTGTCTAGAAAGCAGTACAGCCTGAGGTTTGATCGGGTAGCTATGGCGTACGAAGCGCCAGAAGATGTGCCTGGCCTGAAGAGGTGCATCGGAGCTTGGAGTCTTTGTTCTGCTTCTTTCGCGCACTTCCAGCCAATCCAGACGACGAAAAGGAGATGCAACAGCTAGTGCCTGTGCATGGGAGGGGAGAGCCTTTGCTTTTCCCGAAGTCTGGTGCAGGAGGGAGGGATAGAGAGCGAGAAGCGAGAGAGAGAGAGAGAACCATATCTTCTTACGAGCTTTAATGGGCATAGCCTTTGATCTCCCCCACAAGGCCTCACAACAGGGGCGCACCTTTCGGTGCGGGGAGTGTGACATGCTTCCTGAACCCCGGAGTGAAGTGAAGTGAAGCAAAGAGAGAACCTCGAGGTTTGGGCCGAAAGCTGTTTCATGCCGATTGTCTGTGGCGCTGGACGCTGGACGAATGGGTCCCCATGAAGGGGGGGGGGGTTGGGGGGAATACCCCTGCCTTAAACCTCGAGCAAGCCAAAATCCTTTACATTTTCCTCATGCGAGAGAGAGAGAGAGAGAGAGAGAGAGAGAGAGAGAGGGAGACGAATTTGCTCTGAGAATTGGTGTTACTTTGAGGCGTCTTGCAGTTGTTATGGACCTTACGGTGAGTTGCTAAGAGTTGTCGGGGGGCAACAGAGTGCCAGCACGACAACAGAGCCGGCTTGCGCCAGATGAGGATGGGGGATAGGGGTCTTTAGGTAGTGTTCAGGGGGTTGTCACAGTTGAGATCCAGCGAGCCTCATCTTCCTTAGTTGTTTTCACCAAGACAAAGGAGGACAGTGCGCGCTCGCGTACAGTTACAAGGGGGGGAACGGCCCTTCCTTCGACTGTGTGGAAGAAGAGCGAGAGAGAGAGAGAGAGAGCAAGCAAGCAAGTGAGAGAGACAGAGATAGAGATAGAGATGAGGATAGAGAGATAGAGAGCGTGAGAGAGCCCTAGGTTCATATGTCTTGCAGCAAGCCGTCCTATGGCTCAGCCGCTGAGCCTGTGGGTTTCAAGAATGGGGTGACCACTTAGCCTCTGTTGTACAAACGGACCTCCTCGGCATGAGAATCGTGAGAATTGTGCGGGAGATACAGGGGGCGAGCCCCAACTGGTGCCACAAATTGCAGCCGTGCCTTTCGACGCTGTGATGACCAGCCACGAAACTTTCCGTTTCTGCGGAGAAGCTTCAATCTGCACTGCACACACACACAGGGATGGAACTCCAAAAATCCACTTTTCTGACAAAAGCGCAAGAGGAAGCAAAAAAAGCTGCAGCAGTGGGTTTCGCATCAACAAGCAGCATTAACCTGGCTGCAGAACATTACTCCCCAGTGAGTGCCCAATGTTGTTGGGCCGA